GTCCCAAGGTAATGGAATCATGCTGCTTTCGCAGAACGGATAGATCATGCGACAAAGAAAGAATTTGGTAGGCTAAACAATGAATTTTTGAAGATGTCAGTTTTGACGCACAAAAATTGCACTAAACTCGGGGTTTTAATATCCAATTTTGCATTTTATCTCTCTATCAATCAAAAACTGTGAACTAATCAATCTCTGCACACAAATTTTCCTATGTCACTGTATTTTGATCACGTTCCAACCCGACAAAACTTTTGAACTAACAACAACAACAACAGCATTTTATGCCTTAATGTTTGGGCATTATATCATTTTGTTGGTGGGCTCTTGGGTGCCTCAGCCGAATTCTGCTTATTGCATTGAGTTTCCATAAAGTGACGAATTTCGAAAACTCTTGCCTTTCTTCGCTCTTCTATGAAAGTATCCCGAAGCCCAAGAAGAATTTCTGCAAGCCATGTGTGGCACTGTTCACGGATTTTGTCCACTTTTGAATCGAACGCGCTTAGATGTTCTGCGTGACAATCGGCCAGAGCCTCAGTCAAGCTTTCTTTGTCTTCAAACATCTATGCGATGCAAAATATCAAAATCAGTTCAAGGTTGCCCTAATTTCGCTTATGGTAATTTCAGAAGTGTCATGAGCAATCTGCAACAAGCATTACGGACGAGATATGCCAGTTTACAAATATCAATGCTAAGGACAGCATTCTTTTAGGATTTTGTACTGCAAGTGTATCTAATAATGCAAATAACTGTAACCAAAATGGATCCGAACGAACGAACCAGGTCAAGCTCTACTTTCCTGATTTTGATGGAATGTTCGTATATTACGTCTAGAAAAATGGTTACAATTGGGATCTCTGAGAGAGCCATGAAAAAATCCATAATCTCACCATTGAAGCGATATGACTCTTCAAGCTATCAGATGGGTTAATTTCAAAAGCATCTTTTTCTACCAAATTTGTTTATGGATGAACTCGACCAGTGGTTATTTAAATGATAGTGTATCCCAGCATTTACCTTACGAAGTTGAGGTGTAACCTCGACCCCCATTTCTTCAAGAGGAACTTTATCGAGCAGATGAAAGCAGTGGTTTGAAACTTTTTGATATAGTTCATTTTCAGCCTCCCGACACACTGCAACTTCTGCCTAAAATGTTTGGTTTATGTCAAAGTAACCGCAAAATTTGGTCGTGCTATAGCTCCCAAATTGGTGAGCTGGGACTACAAACAACCTCAAGACATGTTCTACTTTTTATTGGTTTTCAGCTATTCCCCTGGTGCTGTACATTAAAGGATGCTGAAAGATTCGCTTAACAAGTATGGGCTATATGAAAAATATGTAGGAATGTCTAACGAAAACACTTCATCACACCTTTAACTTACTTCAACCGCTTGCAAAAAATCATCTGTCAACGATGATAACATTCTCTCAAAATTATCCATATTTTCGTCCAACTGGTCCTCAACTTCTGCCTCAAATTTCATCAATTCATAATGTAAATCATTCAGTGACTTTTGGTCCGTCTGAAAGCGTACAGCATCATTCATCACGTCATCAAACTCATCGTCAGAGCTAAGTTTTACTTGTTAATCACGACAGTAAGTAACTAATTGACCATGCGTTTGTAGTGTTAGTTAAAAAATGGACCACACAGAATGCAGTACAAGGGTGTCGATAAAACGTTATATGTTCATTAAAAGCCTCGAAAATACTATTAAATTTATAATCTGCTACCTTTTTAACCTGATAATATTGTTCGATCGAGCCAATGGACTTAGTTTTGAAATATAAAATCAGTTCATGGATGAATTGTTGAAATTGACTTATTTCACTATCTTTTGACCTTCTCGAATTAAGCCCAATTGATGAGATCCGACTGCAGACTTCGAAGACTTGGTTCTTAAATGTGAACTATTAAGGAAATACAAAAAGAAGCTGAATAAGATGAGACATAACAATTTAAAGGATTGAGAAGGATATTGTTGATAAGTCTCCATGTTTCCGGGCAGATTACATATCGTTTGATCAAAAATATTCCACAGTCCTCCCGAAAACGGGTTGTTGTAGTCCCATTCTACGGCCAGTACAGTGGCGTCCGGTCCTCCCTGCACTGTCTGTCTTACTTCATTTGCATTTTCTGCTGCCGAATATTGTTCACTGTTATAAGTAAACTACAAATTACACGCATTTTTGTTGTTAATCTCATCACACAAATAATAACTAAGAGCAAGGAACTTACATGTTTTTTTGCACAGCTTATTCCATCAAGGTAGAGAAGATTAGGAATGACTGCAAGAATATGCTCACGATAGTTGACGTTAACACAAAGAGGATTGGAGTCTAGCCTTAAACTTCGCAGTGATGCGCATTTTTGCAAGTGATCAACCTAAATACTTCAGAAGACGCAGGTGAGTACCTCGTCTAAATCAATCAATTTATTTGAATTCAAAGCAAGTATTTCTAACCGCTGTAAATGACTAAAAGAGTCTCCGATTGAAGTCAGTTTGTTATGAGTGATAAAAAGGTGCTTCAGGTTGACGAGTTCTTCCAAACCAGTAATTCTTTCGATGCAATTAAAAGATAAATCTGGGAACGCGACCCAATTATAAATGAGGACAAACTAAGACATTTTAACTTCTTTAATTTATCCAAGCCTTCAATATTTTCAATGCTGTTATTGTTCAATTGGAGATATACCAAATTCACAAAACTGCTAAGACCTCTAGTTCTTACAATTCCTTTGAAAATTGGCACAATGAATCCATATCCACATCAAACCTTGAAGCTCCAAATTTAAGCGCTCTGTGTTCCATAAATCTGGTTCGATTTGGCTCTGTTGCCTTGTTCTGCACTTTACAATGCACAAATTTTTGATCATCGACCGTGACAAAATGCCTGAGCTCTTCATAGCTGAATTCCAGGAGCAAATGGAGCGGGGCGTCAAGGCGAAATTTTGAAATGAAATAAACAAAATCGTCGACGAATAACATTATACTTTGAATATTATGTCTGTCATTCAAATGACTAAAACCTAATGAGTTAATACATGATTATGCCTAGTATTATGGCGGTTACACTCTTTTTTCCTACGAAATGTGTTTGACTACATATATCCTGACTTTTAATTTTGACTAATGAACTGCATGTTCTAGGGGAAAAAACGGCTGCAATGTCACAGGATGAATAGTGAGATTAGCTTTTCCTTTTAACTGTGGCATTTCGAGACTTCCTGGCCGGTATAAGAATTCAGTAAGTGCAGCTGTATACATGTATTCTGAAGACGATAAGGCAAATGGGCCTGAGCATGGCTCGAAGGTCAACCCACACGTACAAGGGCCAGACGTATCCTGAAGTGACCACCGAACCTCATCTTGTCACACAAACATAGCACTAAATTAACTTCTGTATCTTAACTGATACACTTAGTGCTGTGCCTGAAAATGTAAATTAAATAGCGTTTTAGTTTCCGTCCAAGTTATCCGGTGCCATCAACATTACACCGTCGCTAGCCTTTCCTACTAGGTAGAGGGCATTACGTTGGACCGAGGACATTTATTCTAAGACGAAAAGGAATAATGCTTTAACATGACCTTACAACCAGCCCACGGGTTCAAGAGCATAGTAAACATTAGTGAGTGTCACATAACCATAGAATCACACTGTCATAGATTACATGCACTCGGCTCTACATAGTGGCTTCTCTTTTAGTGGAAAGTCTCTGTAATGCTTTGTTTATGTGACTACCTAACGTTTGACGGTCACTTTAGAATTTGCCTGGCCTCTGTACAAGTGAACTGGCCTTAGGGTCACGCTCAGGGCTCATTTGCTCTGTTGTCTTCCGAATACATGTTTTCACCCTCACTTATGCCTTCTACTACACTATAGGAAGCCTTGTAATGCTACAGTCTATAAGTGCTAAAGCTATCTTCCTTTTATGCAAAAACTCTCTCAAAGCTGCTTTTAACAATCGAAATTTTTGACAGTAAATCCAAACATTAAATTTTGGACTGTAGCGTCCTCCACTTTACTGTCAGGCTCGTATTTTTCCGCCCTCATAGGTAGAGGTTGCTCCGGAAAGCTTTATTTGGCATTCGGTACAGAGTACAAGGATAACTGAAAAGAGTACTTTAAGAAGTTCCTAAAGTTTGCTCAAGGACGGCTCCACACGCTTCCCAACATGTTTTCCGCATTAAATACCATCCTTATCCTGCAAGGACAGTTTAACCACACTAGTATGCAATACATGGACATTGTATAATTTGCTAATGACTTTAAATGTTAAGCATTTTGACTATTATAAGTCGAAATTGGGCCCTCTTGTAAGTTGCAGTTAGAAGAAGCTTGATAGACGCCAGAGACCGACACTCAAACAGACAAAATATTAGACGGGTTGTTTTAGATAGAGAATGTAGAATAATCAAGAAGTGAGTTATTGAGCGCCTTGCTAGGTCCTACCAACATATGCGTTAGGGAAATCGCAGAATTGTTCCTGGAAAATTTTGAGCACTTATGAGTCACAACAATCCGTTTGCATGAGAGATCTTCTCTAACATGTAAAAGAGCTAAAAATCTGTTGTGTTATAATCTTTGATTTTCGTTTATTTATAATTTGATACTCGCAGAAATCTAGGCGGGTGTACTTCTTCCTTTATTACGCCGGGTGTCTGTGTATATTTATAAATATATTTTGTATCGTATTTCTGTCTTTCGGAAAGCCTAGTTCTCTAAAAATTGTGTCGGGGTAGGAATGGCATGTGTTTCTTGATACGCATTACACGCTTGGCGAAATTTTAAGCTCTGATAAATCCTGTGCACAATTTTAATTGCAGCATCTAATAGCAGGCTGGCACTAAACTATAGCCACCTGACGTGTGCGAGATTTTTTAATCTGCATGTCCACTACTGTCGGTCCTGGAAGAGGGGGACGTAGTTTCTTTACACTTTCTATATTTATTGTAAGATCCCTGTGTTTTTGCGGACTTTAGGCGGTAATTTGTGGTATGGCGATCAAGTTGCATAGTCCGCTTGTGCGACTAATTTATGAGAAGTTTGAACACACTCAAGAACATTTGGAATCGACGCATGAATATGTAAAATTGTCGTTTGTTATTTCTTCAGTGGTACACTGTTCGATCCAATCTCCTTTCAAAGTATGCTATGGATCGTTTCATTCAGGCTCATCAAGATGAGGAAACAACTCTGTTCCTCAAGTCATGTTTTGATAAGTCTAACTGGTTATTTACACAGCTGTACCATACGATATCACGATCAATTTTGACCTGGTTTATGACACTTACTTCGTGCAATGGGTAAGATTTGACTTGCTCTCATTTCCAAAAACGAAATTAGTATTAACGATCGTCTTCACTTTTACTGCTTTGTTTTCTAGCCTCTTAAACCGAGGGTCTATGTTTGTCTTCTCTAGCACACTTTTTCGATACCTACTTGGTGTTGATGAAAATTGGAAAGCTCAAAAGCTGCTGGATCTGGGTGCGGTTTGTGTTTATTATATTTTTTTGAGCTTAAATCACAACGTTAAAGTGGTATTGAGGTAATCACTGTCACTTTTAGTTCTATGCATGCAGTGAATGGAGCTATTCTGGCTTCCAATTTTTCTTTAATTTTTCCTTTGAAGGATTAGACTGTGTTCTTGACTTCCTGACCTCCTGTTCACCTACAAAAAAGTTCCAGTTTCAAATTTCCTGCCTTTCTTTCTTGATGTTTGCAGAAACGGTGTAATCTTTTTGCATAGAAAACAAACATTTGATTCCACCAAACGGTTTCTCGATGCCACTCCGAGTTTTCTTAAATTTAGAGCATGTAAATTCCCTACAGACCTGTGGCTCTAATCTTCCCCTTCTGTTACATTACGAAGTCAGTTTGTAAACATTGGCCTCTGAAATAATGTTGGTTCCAGAACAATACTAATATGGCACTTCTGGAACATCACGGCGTTACCATGATTCCATCCAAAATGGAAGCAAGTGAATACTCGATCAGGTGGTTTATAGCATTAGCTACCTTTTGTTTCAATGGATTTCCATAAAAGGAATCACCAATTCATTCTTCGAAGGTGCAGGAACCAAATCAATAGAGCTCTGACCTTCGTTACATTTGAGCTCAGTGTTTCCCTGAATCAAATATTCCTCTTTGTTACAGTCAGGAGAAAACGATAATTCATGCTTCTCGACGTGAATTTGGTCACTCAAAGCAAAATTCGTACCTAAGAATGGATAATGGCAATTTGGCAGCATTTATCCACTCTTGAGTGTGTTATGTTGTGAGTGCAGTACAACTTGCTACCGCTCTTGGAGGTTACCCTACCAGGGATGGTATCCTTCTGTGGTAACGTGGTCTTATGAGATTCTGCACGAATGAATGCAGTCACCTAAATCACGGGCTAGATATACGTCGAAGTGACTGGTGGCCGTCATACGTAAGCGATGTCGAATGCACTGCTTTGTTCTCATTTAGTAGTGGAGAGAATGCTAAGCACAGAGTAAGATGCAACTTTTGGAAATTTCATCTCAATCCGACTATGCTGATCACCATGTATTGCTGACTTCAAGGTGTACGGTTACTCTAATCTCGTCGAGTTGTCACTTTCTTCTCGTTCCCTTTCGCTTGTGTACATAAAGCCTGAATTATTGCGTGTACTTTGTATTCGCATCTTGGAAAAAATGCATGCCACCGTCAGCTTCCCTGAATGAGTTTCTGACTTGCTTTATTTAGCTCACGTATTTTAATGAACTGATTGGCTCATGCTCCTCTCATACGGATTCCACGTTCCTTTTTTAGGACTAAGATAACTGGACGCGAACGTCAGTCTTGACGATAAAACTCAGGGCGTGTATATATGACGTAGAAGGTGGTCCTGTGTCTCGCTACTGGGGCCAAATTTTCTAAAACCCATGCTGTCAAGTGATCTTATCAAAGCCTCCCTACATTTTTTTTTTCAAATTTTTTTTACAAACGGCTATTGGGACTCTCCGGAACCTCATTATGCTTATTATGAACGTATTCCACAGCTACCCAAGAGTCCCTCCACTCGTTACAACATTCAGCTTTCGCTTTTCCCTTCTCAGGCGCCGGTGATGGGCGCGTGACAATGCGCATGGCTCCAATGTTCGACGAAGTCTTCGTAACAGAAATCTCTCCCGTCATGCGCTGGCGACTGCGACAAGCGAATTTCACGTAAAATACTTTTTATCACCCACTTGCTATCACTGGTTGTCTGTTAAGACCTGATATCGGTTACAACGAAGAGGTTCAAGCGGTAGCTTAGCCTCCCCTTAAATTTCTGTGACCTAAAGCATATTAGTGTTGACCTACTTTGTGCCATTGCTTTTACGAAAACAATACCGCTTTGTTCCTAAATCACCATACAAATCATCCCCAATTGCACCACTTTAAAAGCATAAATTATCGAAATAATTGCAATGGCATAGGATTTAAAAGGTACTGGAAATCGTAGTAATTCACTATCCTAACTTAAAACTTCGAAAATAAGGGAAAAATTTTGTTGCAGCCAAACGTCTGCTTGCCCATTGCAGGGTGCTGGAAGTAGAGGAGTGGGATAAAGCTCCAGCGGCGGGTTCAACGACAGCACGGCAGTACGATGTGGTGGCGTGCCTCAATCTCCTGGACCGTTGTGCTTCTCCCCTCACCCTCCTCCGGCGGATGCACACAGTTCTTACTCCCAGCACCGGGCGTCTCATCCTTGCGCTAGTCCTTCCCCTCACTCAATATGTCGAAAGTAAATCACTCTCGCCATCGCTCATCCCGATACTGGATCAGTCCTTTTTTATTCATCTCTCCGTTCCTCAAGCTAGGCCTCTTACAAGTGAACAGTATGATACTTAGTATGCGCTGCCTGCATGAATTAGCATCCCCTAGCTAATCAGAATGTGATGGCTTCCAATTCAAATTCTTATGCTGACCAGCAAATCATTGGAATCAGTTATGGAGGCTCTTGCATTGTTTTTCAGCCACTCCGAAAAACGAGCCATTAGAGGTGATGGAAGTCTCAAAGAGCCGTGCCTGGGAGGTGCAATTTGACAGTTTCCTCACCAATGTTCTCCAACCAGCGGGCTTTGAATTACTCCGCTGGACACGGGTACCTTACCTCTGTGAGGGCGACTTTTCACGTTCATTTTACTCCCTCAACGACATTGTCATGGTTGTAAAACCCTTTGATTATCCTCCTCGACTACATATCTCCTAAACTGCAGCCTTTTTACCAGCTTCGTACGTGCATTATACTTTCTTTAGAACCCGCTCTGGGCTGCTCTGTTACGACAAGTTCCACTATCATCAATGACATGCGACTTTAAATAGCACCATATTGCTATACAAGAAGAGGAACCTGGTAGTAAAAAGAATCCTTTAGTAAAAAACAGCACGCCAAAAAATACATCAAACGTTTAAACACGAATAGCAGGGAGACCGCTTCCTACCCTTCTCTCCCAGTTCCCTCACTTTGCTGTTTTGGCTGTCCCTGCTCCTTTTCTGCCTCCCCCGTTACACGTGGTGCCGTCGGTGTGTTTGGTTCAATTTCCTTGGAAAGTGTGATGAATGACACACGGCGCTTTTCACTCATCTGCTTCGATTTAGTGGTGGTGGGTGTTGTGGTCGTGGGCGAGGCTAGAACGGGAGCTGAGAGGTAGCGACCAGTGTTTGGAGTAACAGGAAGTGGAATATGTGGCCGCTCTGGTGTGTGAATGCTCGACTCAAAGGAAATATGTCGACGGCCCTCGAACTTCAGGGTCTCCGTTGCTCTTACTTGCCACTTCCCATCCTTCTTCGGGGTAACCTCTGTCGCACGATCAGTTCTGTTTAAAATCAGACTCTCAGTAGGATTATTGCATTTATCGGGTGATTCGCAAGTCTGGCTCGCATAAGGATTACTTCCGGTAATATCAGACAAAACACTAGAATGTTTGAAGCATAGAGCAATTATCTGTAAGTATATCAACACCACGAATGCATCACTGCGATTGCGAATGTGCACGAAATGGTAAACCTTAATCCATCATAAATCAAGCAGAGGGCAGAACTTTGTTATGAGTTGTATAGGGTTTAACCCACATTATTCCACCTACAAATTTTGATCCTCATTAGAGCCTGACTCGACGGGAGAATTGGCCATTTGGGTGTTTATTTTCACCCCTAACGGTCCTCGATAGGGGACGCCCAGCTCCTCAACGGCAAAGCGGATGAGAGAACAGTATCCATCAGTGGATGTCACAGTCACCAGGCGACCGTCGCTTGACCATGCCGCATCGTTTAACGATTGATAGTGGATTTGACCAACCTATTGAAAAGATACTAACTACAGGCCTCGATAAATGACCTTCAGGTGTAAACAACTGCGTTGCAAAAAGAAGAGTGGCTCCCATAGCACACCTAGTTAAATCTAATTGAGAAAAATTGTTTATTGTGCAATGATTTTACCCAGTATTAGCCAAAAGTTGTGGTGGCCAAGGCGTTGATAGGTAGTAAATAAGGGTAATCTGTCATGACATGAACAGCTGTTGTATTGCTTGGGGTTGGCAGTATGACAGTGCAGATAAAGGCAGGATGTCTCGATGTGTACAAGCGCAGCCTACCTGGGCGAAGGGTTGAACTTGTTGAGTGTCGAAGAAGAGGAGCCCATCATCAAGTACGAGACAGAAGATCCACCGATAGGGCAAATCGAAGAGGCTAGAAACGGCTACTTCGGGTTTGGGGTTTGTAATGCGCAGTCGAAAAGGCTGCGGGCAGAAGCGCACGGCGACTACGGGCCGTGAGCCCGTCGGTAGACTCGCACATGGTTTCTTGCTCCAATTTCGCAAGAAAATATGTGCGGCGTGTTGTGGAGCGGTGGCTAGAAGCGATGCATTCGGTGGGAGCTCGATACCTCTCGCATAGACTGCACTGTTTATTTATGAATATGACCCGAAATACAGACGAGACGCATAAATGATCGTCCCCACAAACACCAACACTACTCTTACCCGAAATGCACTCAAGTACCGATTCGGTTTATTGGTACCCTTGGAAGATGATGGCGTAAAGAGGAATCGGGATATTAAACACACAGACGATTTTTAAGAAGGCATTATGATGCGGATTGTGAACCAATTTTGAAGCAACAACATACTCTGAGCCACTCTCGAAAGAAATTTTTGTGATTGATGTTATTCATTACTTTATTCAAGGTTCTCATTTAGAGGCCAGTCAAAACTGATTAGACAGGCTTGTTCCAACGGAAACACTAAATAAATCAGTTGACTCTAGTAATACCGCATTTATGTACATTGTGATAGAGTAGCAATGCGACCCAATACCCAGGCTTATAAATTGCAAACCTCTAACAATTGAAGTTGGTAGTGCAGCTTTGTTGCTTGTGCAAATGGTTATGACAATAATGATAGTCCCGCAAGGCATCGGGGATAGCAAGACGCCTCACTAATCCATAACTATGCGATGCAGATATTCGTCATTTTCAAAACGCAGATGAATTCGTGGCCTTGAAGATAAGCACATGTTCCAAAAAAAACCAGTCTTACTCGCCTGACTTCACCTATATATGATCGTAGCGAGACCAATTCTGGAGGAATGGTGATGGTGAAGCAATCGCCGCTTGGACTAAAAGCACCACTTCTTAAGGGTGCATTCAATTTTACACACGAGGGTCCCTCTTCAGTGAAAAAGAGTAATTCCCTGAGAGATCGCATTGACTTTCACGTCCCCTAGAACTCTCAATGAAATGAACACGACATGTAGTTTGGATTGGTTGATTTTGTAAACCACTTCTAACCGAACTTGCAGGAATAAGTTATATCCAACTCAAACAATGGTTTAACCTTTACACAAGACTGACTAGGAAAACAATGGACTTACTGGAAGAAAGGGTGACGTCGGAATCGGCAGCATCAACTTTAGAGGCAATGGAGGCGCTTTTGTTTGCAGTCGACGAAACAGCAGAGGACATATCGCCAGCAAATGGAGCTGTCTCGAGATTTCCCGCTGGACAGATAAGGAGCAAACCGTCCGGACTAAAAGCTGGACGGCGAAAGAAGGACTTCCACGTATCATCCTGTTGATATTAACAAAACCATTTTGACCAGATTTACACTCTTATCAAGGCACGATTGCGATAACCGCAAACCCTAAGCCTACATCTTCAATCTTGTCCAACATGAAATTGCCATTTTCAGAATTCCTGCCTACTACTTTAAACAAACTATACCGATTTATAGTACACCATCATTTGAAAATAACCATTGCACATTAATGCTTCAATGGGACTAATTGTTTTCTAATTTAGTTAAGCCACACATGTCTCAGTGCCTACCTGAAACAAATGACACTTTTCAACCTTAGATAAAGTGGCGACACATTGGTTAGTTGCCACCTTATAGATACGACAAGATCGATCGGAGGAGAGTGAGACAACGTAGACACCCAAAGGGTCCCAAGCAACACCTTGAACGTAATGTTTGTGGTCACGAAGCACCACCGATTTGCAGATCCCACTAGAGGTGACCTCAGCAGAGAGATCGAGGTGCCAGAGGATGACCGACTGATCTACCGAACCCGAGATGAGCGCAGTACCATCAGGAGACCAGCAGAGATCATAGACGTCCTCTAGATGGCGTCTAATGCAGAGGTATTACAAAGTTACCACAAAGTTGTGGAGGCGATGGCAGAGGTAATACAAAGCTGGCTCATCAAACCCAGACACACCGTAAGGAGCGCAGAGGCAACCAATTTTCCAGAGATCTTGATTCGTCTCCATTGTCCCCTGGCAACAACAGTGGAGTTGATTTACCCACAGATTCAGGTTGCATGTGCCAGATAATTATAAATTGGTCATCGCCTCCAGATGCCAAATATTCACCTATAACAATGACAAACAAAATATTGTACTCATTCTAGGGTAAGTAGAACATATAATACCGGTTTATGACTTAACTCCACTTGACAGCTCGATTTTAAACCATTAAGCAACACTTGACTATGGCAAGTTAAGAAATTTGACGAGTTTAAAGGGGCTCATGACCAAAGTTTGATTCGTAATGGTCCCAACTTTTACGGCCATGTATTTTGTTCATGATTCAAGACGCGCTCCTACTTTATCGGTTGCAAACAAACAAGCAGGGACCGAGTAATTCGAGATTTAACCTATCATATTAATTTGAGTTCACTAAGAAAATGCTTGCATCATCATCCACCTAATGAAGGAAGTATAGAAAAAACTTGTATGTTCAAAACACTGGGCGCGTATGATCGCATTCAAAATTAAAGCTTTCGATTGATTCGATATACCATACCGTTCACGATTCTCGTAAACCCCCTCTCCCATTCTTACACTATTGACCTTGAATTCAAATGTGAAGGTGACCTGAACCATCGTTATTTGGTACTGAAGAGCATATGCACTACAAAAAATTCCAGAATCGCGATGAAAATAAACCACCCTAACAATAAAATAAAGACTATCAACTTCGGCAGTGCAGTAAAGTAGGGAAAGATTATGACACTGAAATGGAACAAATGAGCTGAAAAATGACATAAAAATGAGAAACTTATGGCGAACAAGAGCAACAGAGGAGAGTCGATGGACGAGTATGTATTCCTTTCTTAAAAGCCCAGAAAGCTAACTGAGACTAAATTCAAAGCAAAAGGATAACCCATGCCGAGAAATAGCAACGATGTATGTACTTGAACTCTAAAAGATGACAAGACTAAGCTAAATCAAAGGAAAAGGTGGGATACTATTCCTAATCCCTCCACAATTCACGCATGATATAAGGCAGTAGAGCGGGGAAAAAATTCGGACAAAATCATTAACTAAGCCAGACAAAGTATCCGAGTCAATCTTGTCAACTGTTCATTGACCAACGCTCGGATGGTAAACGACACAGTTAAGTGATTGAGAGATGACCAAACAGTGAACACTAAAGTTACGATGGACACAGCAAAATTCTATTACAAATGAGTGGCGTATATGTGTTCCCAAAAAAAGTATACTGCATGTAGTCCTAGACCACGAAGCGCTTTTAAAACGTAAATTGGAGTCTGCTGTAGCAAAACCAATGTGAAGAAGAGACAAGTCAAAGGTAATCTTATGGTTCCAAGATCATGCGACACACCTAGATCGGAGCATAGGTTATATGGCACAATCTTGTGATGGTCTTGACCAATTAAATCGGCGATTATTTATCAACTTGACAAATCGTGAGTTTATGCACAAAAAATCTTGATTACCAGACGGTGACCAGCGGACAACATTGACCAACCGTTCATGTCGTTTCAGAGTAGCTAAGAAGACCAATCCTTCGGGCACAGGTGCGGATACCTTGACTTCACTCGGGTCACTACCAGCAGCTACAGTAGCCGTGGCTGTGGAGGCGCCAGGAGCGCCTGAAGAGGCCTTATTGTCGCTTAAGCCAGCATTACTATCCAGAAGACCCTTGGGCAGGGGCTTCTTGAAGGTGGCGATTGTAACAGAGCCCGACGTTCTCCAGTCCAGGTGCACCCGCCACAAACGGACCATGCTGTCTCCACCTGCGGTGGCCAACCTTGTCCATGTGTTTCCAAGGGTGAGGCTATTCCTCTTTTCATTGTTTTCTTCTGTCCTCGTCATCTCCCCTCTCAGCCTCACCACATCGGTTGTTGAGGCATCGTTAAAGGAAAGCTCCGCGAAAGGTTCACGCACTCCTTGGGATGCCAAGGTGAAAGGTTGCAGATCACAAGAGTAGATTGGCAGTGTCTCGTGCCAGGCAATTTCGGGAGTCAATACTTTCATCCTCGGACTAAAAAACGGAATTAAGTCCACAAAAAATCAAGCATAGCTACGAAGAGCCCATTTAGAGAATTACAAACGTGAGAAAACTAGTAGCGATCAAGAGTGATGCTTGAGAGTGAAATGCTACCATCATTGCACCTAGAGTAAATTCATTAATGGAAACTACCAAAGCAAAAGCTCCACATAACTCCACACCGACAGTTGCAAATATAATCCAAGGTTGTAATTGCAAGCGATTAATGAACCAGAATTTGACTGAAACGCCGAAGTCACTTCGAAGAAGAAGTGACTTGATCTTTCGCAGCAACGCTTGACGTGTGCCCAAATTTTCCGCCCTAACTGAAGTGTACATAAGTTTGGAATATACTTTCGCAAGCAAAAAGACATAATAAGTAGATTTCCATAATGACCCAAAACTCTGGAGGTAAAAATCATTCTAAATAATGAAGCCTACGTATCCAAAAAGTTCTAAAGTTATCCTAATAATCATGAATGGGAAAACATGCCATGTGAAAATAGCCGCCCGCTTTTGTGCCGCCCAAACTGATGAGTGGATAGAAAGGATTTCAAATTGTTTACAGTTTTAAAAGTAGTATTGCATGAGAGGCGATGAAATTAACCATAAAGTGCTCAAAATCTTGGAAGCTTTCTGTCTTTTCAACAAAAAAGTGGACTACCAAGTCGTACAAAGGCGATTAGTTGAGGCCGCTTTTCATATGACAATTTGGGTGCTAATGCATTAATGGCAATAAGTCAGGTGTTCACAAACAACTAATGTAAGATCACAGTCAGCTCAATTTACAACAAAAGTTGAGTTGTTTTGTTAAATGACACCACACATTGGAGCTTTAAATCGACTCAGTTAAGCAAAGTAGAAAGCTAATTGCTTACAACTTACCACATATTAAAATGCGATTTAAAACCTCTTAGGAGATAGAAGTGGAAGACATGGGCGACGATTTATAGACAAGTGAACAACGATTCCTCTTTGACTGATCTATTTATTAAACTTGTACTTATTATGCTAACTTTGGGATTGAGAATAGTGCTGTGTGAAGGCCAGTGGGAGAGCGCTAAATTCTGGAAACAGAGGAAAAGGACGCGGCATGGACAGCAACGCAATCACCAAGCGCGTTATACGACATTCCCTCGATCAGTCAAAATAAAACTCTTCATATTGTTATTTACGGAATCAGTTCGACAATCGAAATGCACAACAAATACGAATGTCAGGTGAAAATTTGAAACGGAGGACCCTAAACGGTACACATTATAAGTATTAAACGTATTTCACCGCATGGGACTAATGTAAACCACTATGCCCTCAGAGTTGTAAAAGCGATTCCGAATTGTAAGCAGATCAAAGGACACACAAGAATCGTGGCTTTTGTTCCCAAAATCCACTTCTTATTGTCACAAGGTTACACCTCTGCCGAGTAGGAAATGGCAAATTCCAAAAAATTCGACGCACACAAATCACTTTTCATTTGAAAGGGACTTTTACTCTAACTGCATTAGCTAATGGGAGGAGTCGTAATTCAGTGCACAGAAAACAGAATCAAGACGAAGAAGGAAGATGCCTAACACTTTGATGGATACTGACACTTGCGGCAAGACGACTTAGCAGTAAATTTTGGGAGCTCGGACCAAACTCACAGTAACCAGCATTCCAACAGACATCGTTCAATTTTTAAAACACGCGCATAATACCGTAGGTTAATGGACATTTCGACTTCGGGCCACATAATGCCAATGACTAACCAACAGTCTAAATCACGCATCGTTTGGAGGCATAAAGACGCCAAATTTTTATTTCGCGTATTGCATCAAAGCACACTAATATGATGTCAACAGCCGCGAGATAGCAAAAGAATGCAACAAATGCAAGATATTAGAGACCATTACCTTACCAAAAAGGCCTAGGGACAGAAATAAGGGTGCTTCGCAATTAATACTTAGTCATTCAAAGCCGCATCATAGATTTTCAGGTTCTTTATGCATTATTGATTATTTTGATTATTTATTCACAAGTCTAACAAATCACTCAATTAAATTGTAATTAAAAATAACTTTTCCTAGTTTTAACGGAAGTCAACTATCGAAGTTTGGGCGCACAGAAATAATGACAGAAAGAACGACGGCCTAGATTACGAATTTACTTTTAAGTAGAACGCGATTTTATCCAAAACCGGTTTTCTCGCTTAGCTACCGTAACTGGGACTTTCTAAAGCTGTATGCATGAAAGAGGAATAAAATGGAGGCAGTGAGCACCAAAAATAAAATGATTTTCACTAGTTCGAGCCCATTTAAATCGTGTAGAACTTGCAATTTGTGGCAGAAGATAACACGTTGTACAGGTGTGTCAATAGGTGGAATGCCATTAAAATTAAGCCTACGTATACCATTATTCAGGTTTGCTGAGAAAAAAGTGCCTCACTAAAAAGAACATGAAAGTGGATATAGTTCAGTGGTATGAAACCGTTCCACAAACCATCGATAAGCACACCCAATTAGCATAGAATTTTATTTCGACCACTAACACGCAAATGCAGGGCTTTGAAAAAGTTGTAGACTCAACTACGACCATCCCCTTTGGAGGTGGGGAGAAGTGAATGTAATATCACGCAGACTACGACTAAGGCAGTTGAGGATCGTAAAGGCAGAGCAATGGATAAGGTTCTGGTACTTACGATTGAAACTAAACATTCATCAATGCACTAGCATTCAGTACTTTTAAAAAGACGATTTTAACAATAGACTATTATGTGGAAAGGACTTTGACCCATTCAGTAAAACTGCTACCACATTTTCATACGGAAATCAAATCCCGCATAATTTGGAGGCGCTAGTTCAACACAAGGACTGGCTATACATGGAACTGCTTCCTAAGCTTTTCAAGACCCAATGAAACAAATCCAGTCGATCAGGCAATGTATCAAAATCCAATCCGGTTTACTTAAGAATAGTAAATATGCAGAACGTCACTTTGATCGAGAGAAGCTGCTGTGCACAAACAAAATTGACAATTAGGAGTTATGGAAAATAGTTACCCATGCCAAGCACCAAAACGCCAAGTTTTAGACGTATGCACATGACTTGTTTCTAATCAGAGGTCAAGGAAACCAAGTGCTTCAAAACTCCAACAAACTTAACCATAGTCAGCATATAGTTGAATGGGCTTTAAATCAAAGAACAACCCCGTAGTAAGATTAGTAAAAAGTAAAGCCAAAGGATACGTTGTAATGTCAGCGTAATCTCAAATTAAGCTATACATTACACTAATAAAAGAAGGAAAATGCGAAATAACTTAAGCAACTACTATTTGCCCCGTCAAGAGCCATCTAAATCGCAAGATGTACTAACGTAGGTTCATCAACCAATAAAAGGACACAAGAATGCCTCTCGCCCCAAACCCATGCAGTTCTCTTTTGGGAAGCAGTGTAAAACGAAAATATCAAATGAGACATTCACAAATTAAACTTAACTTGCTCTCCGTTTTTACTAATAAAGACTACCACTCAGTCAACTCTGTAACTCAGTAGTTACGAGTAGTCACTTGGTTAATGGGCGACTCTTCGACTCCTTGGCCTATGCGATTTGACAATTGGAATCAATAACAAGTACAAAATTCACTGCCACAGAATTTCAGAATAAAAACATCTGCAAATCATCTGGACCGAGAAGAGTATGGTGAACCAAGACCGTTAATGTTTCGTGTTACAATGTCGAATGGTAAATCCATTTGAGTATGCCGACATTTAACGACAATACAAACAAGAACCAAATAACAACGAAAATATGTATTTTATTGCAAGCCGAAGCAAAACATAATGGAAAACGAGAAAAAAGTGTTTCACAGTTTATATTGATCATAACAATGGTACAGACACAGTGGTGGAGGAATGAGCACTAAGACGCGAAGGGAATTAATAGCGGTGGCAAAGGAATGGGCACAAAGACAAATGTGAGAGAGGAGGGTGTATGAACTCGAGAAAGCGTTCACAAATGCAATAACAACGCAGCAGCAGTGTCCAGGCTCTTAGTCTGTCATGCTGGCGGGTGGAGTCTTGGAGCGCTCATCGTCCTCCTCCTCTCCTTCAGAGGTGTTGGCGGAGTGTCTGGTGGGAACGTTTGCAGCGGATGTAACACAACCGGTGGTGGTGACTGTGGCGGAAGCATTTGACTGTCTAATTGAGTGCGGAGGTCGAATATGGGGCGAAGGTTTAACAAAAGAACCAGGAGAGGGTGACGAGGGTGGGGGTGTCACGGCACCACAGTGATAAGGCGCCCTGTAAGGGGGAAGAGGTTGACCACACTCTCGACAGACGCGGCCCGAGTTGTTACGACCCTGAAAAACGGCCGCGGCGTAGGCATGGCCCGGACCCAAGAAGGGTCCCTGCACCAAGGGTGAAGGGCAGCCGTCGGAGGTAGTGCGTAAACGAATCGATGAAGTCGCGAAGCGCCTAGCGTCATTGTAACACCTGAAGCAGAAAACAAGGAAAATACGAGCATCAATGAAGAAGCACCAACTTTTGTAGTTCAAATATGCAAGCAACTAACTAACCGTTCATCTTCAATCTCAAGACTAGACTCGCTATCGCTGAGGGCTCGTGTAAGAGCCCTTGTGCGATCCACCTCAACCTCCAACAGTTGGCGCAGTCGAGCATTCTCGTCCATGGCTGAACGCTCCTGGTTCGAACGAAGAACCTGCTCAGCCTGAGTAACAGCGACAATGCGACGTAATCGAATGACCTCTTCACGCAGCTTTGCCACGTACGCGGCTCCGGCAACTGTGCTTTCAGCAGTCAACTCGGCTACTGAAGCGTTGCTGGGTTGAAAGCTATTGCGATGTGAGCGACTTCCGGACTGAGAGCTATCTGAACGCACAAGGCTGCCTGTTGGCAAGCTGGCATCTATAAATGATATTTTCCAGTGAGATCGAGTTGAGTGAATTCGACGAAATTCCAAACTTACTAAGCAGAAATAAAAAGGGAGCAGCGTTCCTGTTTACATGGTGTTAGTATTTAATATTTAATGTTCCAACTATTATGATTTATGTAGGGCTGCATAAATTGCATTTGATTTTCTCGGCCACTTTTGGGCGCCTAAACACTGTAACAGTACACTTCGTGCTAATGAGTGTAGGATTCTGGACAAAACCCGAAGACTTCTATTCAACCAAAAGGGTTTTTGAAAAATTGCCAGTGAACTTGGTGGTACACGAAAACAAAAATCAAATCAGATGATCAGTGTACAAATCTCAATGATCAGTAAACAGATCACAGAAATGTTCCGAGTACAGAAGATCAGTCAACTGTAGTTAGAAATAAACGACAATAACGAAAGGAAAAATAGTTATTAGTAGGTTAATAATTATGTAAGTAATAATTTGAGGACTAAAATAGCCTATAGTTTCAGTCCGAATTTAGAGATCGCGCAATGTGATTTTCAAGGTAATAAACATCGCTTGCCGAAGCTGCCGGTACTGAGCCTACATGAGGGAGATTTGTATAGCTTGTGAAAAGTCACCACTTATTTCCTGTGGGAAGATGTGAGGAGTGGTAAACCATGCACGCACCGCGCTGCTTTATGGAGGGAGATGGTGCTAAAGGATATGGCAACCGCAAGCATGTGGTCGTTCTTTTGCTACCGATTTTAGTTAATAATAGCAAACAGGTGATCAGAAATTTTTGAGATTAGCAAATCACTGAGTACAATGCCTTCCTGATTTCTACAAATTCAACGATAGTAAGTAACTGAAAGTTCAAAGACATTGGTAAATCCAAATTAGTAACTAGAATTCCAGAATATCATGTGCCAGTCCACAAAAAACCCTTGTTTTACATCCCATTTCTAGACGTAAGTTTATATCTCGCATTCGATAATAACTGGGATTGCGTCCCATATTTCTCCATAACGTCGAAAAATTGGTGGAGTCAGCGCATTGGTCCGCAGTGCTTAAAGCAAGGAAATCTTCAAAAGCACCAGAACGCAGTAATAGAGGTCAACATAAACTATGAAGCACCAACACATCTATACACAGATGCACAAAAAACTAGTTACAGTAAGATGGGGCACGAATGCCACCTAATATGACTTTGACTTGATGTCAGAAAATCAAACTCAGAACAGTTCGTATATTGCGACAAATAATAAGCATAAAGTATCCTATGTTCATAATTCAGCCTTATAGTAGAGAGAAGTCGTTAATAAATAAGTTCTTTCACGATGCTGGAAAGACTACAGCTGAACACTGACAGCAGCATCAAGATGGCAAGCATGAGAGAAAACTCCAATGTCCTACCTTGCGAGAAGGGCAAAAATTGAAAAAGACCAGGAACGGAGCAGACATACCCCTAAGACCAATAAAGAACACCCAACACAATAGCACATGACTGCGATTGCAGCCCGAATGCGTTAGATTCAATAAAGTCATTTGTAACACAAAGTGACAAAAAGTCTACGTATTTTACCCCAAACCAAGAAACCCGTGCCTGTAGGTGAAAATAAAAAATAAGTAGTGTTTTTGATCGGGAATAGTGATAAGCCAACGGATAGATTTCAGGAGTAAAAATCGCTTTAAATTACAAACGATTATTTACATGACGTTACTTTGTGGAGCATACAACTGCAGCTCCTCATTAGATCAAAAAAATCAGTAGAAAGAAATGGGATCGATTCCATCAGACGTATACAACAGCTGCGGAGCTCCAAGATTAGGGAAAAACAGCTCGTTCGGCATAAGTTGGTAAGAAGATTCTTGGCGAAGCCGAATGTGACTAAGAGAATTAACCGATGATGTAACAATAATGTTCAGTTAAATTGCATTCATAGTTTTGGCAACAAACATCAACAATCACATCTGATGACTCTCATATACCGAAAAACAAAAAGTAAACTGTTCATTTTGTTCTTAATAAATATGACGAATTGATAGCAGGCAGGGCTGCTGCCAAGGGAGAAGGAAGAATGGAGTATGTCTAGTCTATTTTCTCCTGCCTCGAAAATGGTTATGAAAAACCTCAGATTCCAGTGCAGTAAAGACTACACCCACTGATCCATACCTGATAAATTCATGGCAGTCCTTTAGGAAGATTGAAATCACAAAAAAAATGCAGGAACGACGTTGCAAAAGGAATGCGTGTTATCCTATCTTAATAAAAATAGAGACATGCCGAACGCGTCATAAATGCCGATAACGAAAAGTGCTTCTCGGTAATGAAAACTAACGATCAGATTAGATTAAAAAATGTTTACACCTCCCCCTTCTTAAGGAAGGATTCGATATTTCAAGTGCACCAGTCGTTAAGTTACAATTTGAACAAAAACGACATTTCCACTTTTCAACAATGGTGATGCTTCCCATCTACGTTTGGCTCGCATTACTTTCATCAAATTTGTCCTTGAAAAGACTCAAGATTTGTACATGGAAGGAAACACAGAAAGCACTTGATAATCAAATTAATGAAGGAGAATGAACCAACCGGAACGAAAGTATATTTCACAGGTGTGAAATAATATTTGCTCTTTGAAAGCCAATGGATACAAATTGGTGTTGTCGGAATGCAAGACCGATTTGGTGGTGCAGCCAGAGTAGCAAAAACAAATTACTAACAATGTGGATCTAATAAATATGACTATTGGATTGAACTCCTGCATGGACACAAACAGAGTAGGCATATTGGCCAACAGAAAATAACTTCTACCGCTTGAGGCAAAGCTACTGATATGTTTGTAGCAAACAAACAACCTCAGAGATCTGTCGCTTTAAGAAAGTTACCTAACATCGTTGGAAGGCACCAAAACACTGCAATTATTTATGTCCAGCATCAAAAGTAGTAAAAACCATGGGAAAATTATTTCGGTCAGTTTTATGACTATAAGACTAATCAAGGCATAAAATAGGCATTCAATGTTATTTAATTCGCTTGATAAACGCCAGATCAACACGAAAAATGGACCAACTTAAAAATTGTAGTCCTGTAATTGACCAATCACATTGAAGGTCAATCGAGAAGTTGCGATGCAAATATCGCACGAGAACGATGTAATGGTATGCAAAAAGCGAATTACTTGCATTAAATACAATGTTATAACCTATTACGGTCCAAACGTTTGCGGTAAATTTCGATAAGCAATATTGAGAATAAAACATCTGAGTTTCCAAAGCATGTGACCAAAAAGAAACAAATTGGAAAGTGCAAGTGACAAAAAGCCAAGTCAAGTCCTCCCGAACTTTTCACAATCCACAAAGTGCATGACAAAGTCTGGCAATATACAATGCACTTCACCTACTTATTAGAAGTCAGTGGGAAAAAGAAATTACGGAGACCGATAGTAAGCGATAAGACAAGCCCACTTCCGAGTGTTAGGGATCAATATAAGCTGCGACCGAAAAATAAATTCGAGCACCGGAAATGTTTGCCGACCGACAGTGGGTAATTTACAGGCGCTCAAATGAAGTTACCATCAAGTTCCATGGGGCTTTGGGATGGACGCGGGCTAATCGAGGAAGTGAGGGAGCCCCTGGCTCCCGAATGAGTGGGAGACTGCCCAGCGTTATCTGACTGACACCCACTCGACTCGAAGCTGTCAAAACTGCTCCTTCCGAGCGCATCTGTAGTAGGGATGCGCAGGGAGCCGCGCAAAGAACCACCCGCAGAGTGACGATTTTGACTGGTTTGTATAAAAGCCATCGGGATAGAGGCCAAATGCTGCGTTTGGTTTGCACCACCAACCGCTACTGCAGATATGTTTTGCACGCTGGGACTCTCCGATGGAGGAGCACTGACACTCTCAAGCTTATCCTTTGTGCAACAAAAACAATTCCAAAGCACAAAATGCGATCATTCATTTATTTCGGATCAAGAAAATGTTAAACTCGTCAAAAGTCTGGTTTATTTAAATCTAAAATTGCAACATGTGAATACAAGAATAAATTAGCATTTGGAAACGGATGAGTGACAAAAAGTTCATATAAAACAGGAACTAGCACTTAGCGAAGATAGTATGAACATATGTAGTACCCCGCAGTAAAAAGGCATCGAAAATGGATCATTCAACCTAATAAGCGCAGAAGCACATGTATTTGTTTTCGCTATAAGTGGCAAGACTCACAAACACGCACCTTCGCATCTTCCAAAAAACATTTTACGTTTGCACGCATAATATTATAAGGCACTTGTCACTCATGCTGATGGATAAGTTGTCGGGCAATAAATAGGAATGAATGGGAGCCATACCTGAAGAATGCGTTTTTCATCCTCCAGCTTTTTCATTTTCTTCCAAAGTCTGTTGACAAGGGCTTCCTGTTCCTGTTCCAAGGCATTTTCAAGCTCTATTTTATCACGCCTCAACTTATCCAAAATCTGTTGCTTCCATTCACTTTCGCTTTCAAGTCTCTCGATTCGACGCTTCAACTTATTCACCTAAAATACGTATTTAAGAGCACCTAGCAACTAAACAGTTCATAAAAATAACACCAAAAACTAAGATAGCAAATTATAATGATGTCCTGAAGGAATGAAACGGCCTCGAGTACCTGAGCCTCTTGCTCTTTCGCAAGCGTCCGCTCAAGCTTATCCTTGTCCTTTTGCAGCTGCGTTAGTTTACGATTTAGCTCATTGATAAGTCGCTCCTCTTCCTCTTCAAACTTAACCACGAGAGATTCCTTGTCTTTCTTTAACTCTGAGATTTGTCGCTGAAGAGTATTGCTTATGTATTCCTCCTCCCTCTCAGCCTGTGCCAACTAGAGACCATATATCATTGGTAGAATTAGAGTTCTTACAATGGAAACACTGTTTCTTCGGAGTTGTTCATTCTTTTCAGCCAAACCCTTCACTCGTAGAGTAAGTTGATCAACCTCTGTTTTAAGCATCCGATTTTGTTGCTGCAGTAACTCTACTTGTCGCTGCAATTGTTCACATCTTCCTGTGTGGCCATCAATGGAGCTAGCGTCGGATTCAAGATCCAACTCAGAAGCACTATCGACCATGTTTCCTAAGACCAGAGACAAAGTCAATTGCCGAAAAATGGGTAATTAATAAAGGCTTTCGGCAAATTAAAAGGGTATGTAAGTTCAAAGAAGCAGCAATATAGAATGCGAGCAAAAATAAGAGTAAAGCAGTATCTCCGGCTTAAAGACAGACATGAATTGGATTCTCGGTTCATGCAATCTAAAACACCAGCAAAATCATACAGAGCTAACAAATATTGATTCATAAAGATGTAATGACGTAGAAATAAAACAGCCTGTACTAGCACAGTGAAAGGACGGTACGAAAGAGGTAAATCCAGGCTCGGCGAGCATAGCTTCCAGGCATTCTGAATAGTAACATAAGCCTCGACTCGTAATACTGAAGGAAAAATGGTTTGCCTACCTTGAGTCCAAAACGAGGCACCTTACATACGACGATGATGAATTTAACGCTATGCAAGGAAATTTCGAATGGGCAAGCTTTGCTCTTATTCATTCAAACATTGCTACCAATTAATGAAATATCTTTTGTATGTTTACGTCCTCTCAGCACTTTTGCTATTCCGGCTTATAAGCGTTTGCTTTTATGTATTAAGTTGCTTGTCTTATATTGACATCCTAGTGTAAGGGAAAGGCGTGATGCGTGAAGAATAAGGCTAACCAATGTGATGAACATGGGAAAGTCCAGCCTATCCGCCCAAAAGACAAATCGTCAACGCATTTTAATTGTCTAATTCTTATAGCAATTGAATTATACAGTGTACAGTTTTATCTGTGGCGCCCCAAGACCTTCCCAAGTTAAAAGAAAGCATCACGTTGGACAGGCTGCATACATTCCCAGAGGAGAAGAAGCAGTAGATTCTTGTCATAGCCTGAAAGATAGCTCACACATTTTAGGGCAAAACGAGTACCAAAGTAACCACCAGATGTCAGGTGATTTCATACACAAGGCATCACACTGTCCCTCTCCTCTTTCAAGCAACGTCCTCAGCGCTCCTCTTTGTGCACTTTCCTCAGTAGCCATCACAACATATCCGGTGCCACAAGAAAACTCCCACGAGCCAGCCACCCCGGTCAACTACCATGACACTGACAAACGGTACTTGGTCTCCCCAGCACCTTCAAATGGATCTGAAGTTGCTTTCAGTCCAAGGACAGAGAACGTGACGGGAAATCTCTGGTAAGCATCATTGATGTCCGAGACTGGACGTTGGAGCACTGGACTAAAGCACCAGATCAAATAGGAGTGCGGGATCAAACACAGTCGCAGATGTAAGGGGATTAAGAGGAGTATCACCTTCGACACCTACACGCAGATGTGGTAAGAAGAATTCCGATACACTATCATTCCGGATGGTTCAAGGCGGTGTCACTTCAGCTGTTAATACTTTGTTTGTTGATTACGGAGCTAAAGTGGAGCTTAATGCAGACATCATTCTGAACCCCTATGTTGTAGGGCCTTCAGACCATGTTCTGTCGTACGTAAATGCACTTTCTCTGCACTGTAGATGCATGTCACTAACGGTGGGTACAAGTATATAAGTCGTTAAAATCGACTTCTCTCCTCCCGTCTCCAAGAGGCATTTCGAATAACTCAACAGAAATCCTTCTAATATCTCCTTTGAACAGGATTCCACCTGTATTCTCATTTCTTATCTAAAATTGCACTTAAGGAATCCTAAAATTTACACATCCCTGATTTTTCGAGCTCTGCCTAGTGGCATCTTCTTAAGTTATTTCTAACTGCGATGCAGCGGCTTTCTTTATTCTAATATTGCACAATCCTCATTTCCATGGTCTACTGGCAGAGTGCCTTTTTGAAATCATACATTGTCTCGGTAAAAGACAATTGTCAGGTTTTTAGTGACTTTAAAAATGTCTGTGACATGAGCCTGCCCTCTTGTCGATGAAAAGTTAGGCTGCAGTTTTGCTGCATTGGTTGAATTTGGAGTCGTTGTCGACTCCGATTCCAACTGCCAGCGTGAATATATTTTGCAGGAGACCATGAAGGATGTGCGCAATTAATCACAGCTAAAGGTACGGGTAGAGCCAGGAGTTCGTGCATTTAAGCCAAGCCTTAAAGATTTTACCTTTTTGGAAGGGAATTAGTTTAAACATCGGGCTGGCCAAGCATTAAAATGATGAGTTACATAGCATAATTTGCTCTACGATCTAAATCGACGACAGAAGGATGGATCGACTGCTCATGAAAGTGATTCAAAGTATGTTTCCACCTCCACATACGTAAGTAGAACTATTGCATTCGTAACCAAAACCGGTAGTCAGATAATTATGGCACTCATGTTCACTTTTCCTTCAGCTCATTTTTGGCAACGCAGAAATGGTTTTTCTATAATATGGCATTCTACCTCATCTTCGAAAAGATAACAAGCGAGAACAATATAAAAAAATTGACGTCTCTTGGATATTGTCATCTCCTTTAGCACTTATGTGGAAAATTGAGTTCATGTTGTAGCTTCTATTTGAGGATGCTTTTCTAACACCTTTACCTAATTACGACTTCACTAAAGGCCCGGAAGACAATGCTAAAGTATGGGTGGACTAGAAGACCACTAGTATGTTCGGACAAGATGTACGACCCATGAGGACGGGAGTCCGACCTCCATATTGCACCGTTGAAAGTCATTTAGCGCATTCCTACAACACGTCGACCATTACCATTCCCTTTCCCAAATTAGTTTACTGGCTTCTAATTAGGGATTCGTTTGAGAATAAGGACATTTAAGCATAGGTAGGCGAGACCCAAAGTTGCCGTAAAATGGAGTTACTGTCAAGCTTATTTTGTTCAATTAAGATGGGTGTAGCTACTGTCTTTACCACTTTGGAGTACCAAGAAACTCATATTTTCACTATTAACTTTGCATTAGCGAGGCATCGCTTTGACCACTTTGCATTTTTAGTCCAATGGCATGACAGGAGTGGTAACGATTGACACTTATTTAAAGGTCAGTAAACACCATTTATTGTCAAAGTAACAGTAATCAACGATTTGCTGTGCTAAAGCTCTTCCATCCCCTAGTCTTCGTCTCCTTCGTCCTCGTTTCCCTCTTCCTCTTCCTCTTCTTCTGCCGCAGCAGTCATAGCCAGACGCCTTGCCTCCTTCCGCAAACGCTCCTCCTCTTCTTGCTGGACTGTTGGATCCATCGTCTCCTTTAAACCCACAGCATCTTCATCAAACTCTTTTGACAGTGGCTGCAACCTCGGTGGCTGGTAGCTGGCTCCTAAGAACTTGTTCCCCCAACCAAGGTAAATATTGACGAAGTTGCTTGAATCCAAAATAAAGTGATTTGTCAGCAGTTATGCTATAATCCTACAAAACTAGCACAAAAAGTCAACGCTGAAATCAGGCTTTTTGTTCAAAAAAGCTCCAGATCGATGGTAAATCACCGAGAAAAGGTGCATTTGTCCTCTGAACATCTTGTAATTTGAGGAAGGGATTTGCTTACGTGCTGCGAGAGAGGGCGTAAGCTCCAGGCCACCTGGAGCTGCTGATAACTGCTATGGCGCAATTGACGGGGAAGAGGACAGTTGACGGACGGACGTTCCAGGCAGACGCAGGGGCAGAGTTAAGATGGCCAAGAAACGACTCGCCAACCCGCCCAAGGGGCTTCAATGGGTTGTCCTCGTCTACCGGTGTGAGAAGATCGGGTCCTTCCTCCTCTTCTTCTTCTTCCTCCTCTTCCTCTCCTTCCTCTTCCATCGCTTCCTCATCGTTGTCAGCCCGTGGCGTTGCTAATAGCCCAAAAATGGTAGAACGTCATTTTTTATTACGTCCAGATTTGCCTCATTGTTCTAAATTAAAAATGAAGCACTATAGCTACTTAAATGCCCATGTGCCTGGAGTTTTACGCTTTCCGATTTGGACGGAATTTGCTGATTGTAGAGCTACCATGGATGTTGATTTTTTCATAAACACTGATGGGTGGTAGAGGTGCCAATTAATGCAACCTGTGGCTAGCTTTTGCCTCTAAGGCCGTGGGCACTTCAATTAGTTACCGCCTTCATCTTCACCCTCTTCCTCAGCTTCGATCGCCTTCATTGCGGCTGCTGCTTTTTTGCTAGACAACCAATTAATACGTCCGATTGAATATATAAAAGGCCTGTGGTGGACCCAGTTTGAGGGATCAAGCAGATCGGCAAACTCCATAGGCTCGTACTCCTCGGCCATCAGCAAATTCTCTGGTTTCTCCTACAAAACGAGCGTTAGATGGTAAGTGCTTTGTTCCTTATTTAACGTTCAACTTAATCCAATTCTACTGAGGTAATAGAAAATAAAGGTTCTGAGATCTTGTCCGCTAGAAATCAACGGAATTAATTAGAAAGATCACAACATCGCTACTTTGATAATGCTTGAATTTTTTGCAGTAAATGGCTGCAACTTTAATCACCTGGAATGTAAACAATTGGATTCATCGGCAAATGGTGCGCAAGGTGGAAGAAAGGAACTTAGGTGTGTATCAAGATCATGAAATTTGTGGACATCAGTTATAGGGCGTTGCATCCTGTTTTAGTGTTACTGTAAAATCTGAACAACAATGCTGTTTTACAACCATTCTTATCGGCTAATTAGTAATTTTACCTTTTGAGAAAAGCACTTACAAGGAGGGAATTAGAGAATAGACATTGTGAAAGTTGGCTAAAAGTATAATTTTTGTGATCGAAGTTTGTTCCCCAGCTACAAGGAAATTAAGTTCCTAATCTACATTCCTTTGGACCAAAAGGGAATCGAAAAAGGAATGAGAAAAGGTTGCTCGGTAAACTATTTCTTGAGTAACGAACGGAATAATGCGAAACTCATGCATATCAAGAGGATTGGGAGTGGAATCAGAGAGGAACTTACGCCTTCTTCAGGTTCATCCTCCTCGTCGAGCTCAAAAACGCCAGCTGGTGAAACCTGAGTGCCGGAGGATATGCGAGCAATCTGGGCACGAAGGTAGTGTACTTCGAGTCCAGGAAAGGGTCCCACTCCGCAGGGTAGTTCGCCAACAGGAGCGTTGAGGTCACCAGTGAAGAAGTGGATTGATTGACGAGCCGCTACAACGTGCTCCGGCTTTACAATGGGCAGGCGCACCCATGTGTCATCACCGAGGCTGTTGGATACGAAGTAGTCCCATCGATTCAGGCCTCTACCTCTCGGCTCCCGTGGATACCGAGTAGGTGGTTTAAACTTATTCTTCGGCAGATTTATCAGCACTCGTTTTTCCACAGGTAGGTTTGCCACTGTCTCTTCCTTCAATAGCATTGCTGCAATAGGAAACTGTTTATGGGCCACTTCCACCTTCGTGGTGCCTCTTCCACCTTCCTTCATACCCATATGCAAATACACATGTAAACTCGTAATCAAAGAAAGGGGTTTTGTTGGTCTCTTTGTCACAAATCTGAAATGGTGCCCAAATCATCCACTCAAGAACAATAGGGCTCCTGTTAAACGTATAGAAGCTTTCCTATTTCTGTTGATGTTTGTCTTAAATAACGTCCAAAATTCTGTTAATAGACTGCAGAAGAATAAATCTATAGGCTTTGTTGAGACAAATAAATGTGCAAGCGCTCTACTTTACACATTACAACAATTCAAAAGAAAGGAGTTATAAAGCATTTTTTAAACCGCAGTACAAAAACAAGTGGTTACTTTACGCCTCAAAATCTGCACATAAAAGCGCAATAAAAAATACAATAAAATCACAAAGGCAATTGCTCCAAGTAGTACTTCTGTTCCATAACATCTCCTGTAAATAGGCTACGTAATTGTTAGTGGTTACTCTTGATAAATTGAAGCATCTCTCTTACTACAAAACGAGCAAATTGTTAATGTTATCCTATCGTTATTCAATTAGTTCGTTTTCACATCTCCCATAAAGTGCAACCCCGAACGCGATATCACATTCGCACTTATGAACTTCACATGTTTACGGATAAGAATCAAATTTTCCTCTAGAGGACTTCCACCTTTAAATTCCTCCGTATCCTGTTCTTGTATCACTTTGGGTGGCTTGGGTAGGCGCCACTTATCCCAGGGCCCAGGGATTTTATCGATAGGTTCTGAATCGCCCTCGAACTCAGCCTCAACAATGTAGTAGTCTGACTTTTGGCCGTATATCTTGCCCCAAAAGCGCAATTTCGTTACACTGTCCTGGAGCACTTTCCACAGAAAGCGCAAAGCCAGACCTATTCGAGTCAGCTCTTCTCCACCCAGACCTTGAGGTGGAAAATGAGTTACTCGCATCGAACCATAAAGTCACCATAAGTGGACGCTTTAAAGATCGCTTACCTATTCCAGACTGTTCGATTAACGATAGTTGTTCGCAGAGGTTTGGGATAGCGGCCATCTCTTCCTCATCCTCCTCAAAGTTGCTAGCATACGATGCGGGAAGAGGTGGTTCCACCAAGGGTGATTTGTTCCACACATGATCAGGATGCTGCAAAGCGTAATAAAACTTTGTCGAGTTGTACTCATTTGTCGGTTTGCTAAAGATAGTTTATCATGGACGGAACCTACGCGATAGATAGCTCTTTCAGCTTCAGCAAAAACCACTTCCGGTGGTTTGGGCCCTTTAGTATTAGCAACAGCGTCCTCGCGGGCTTCAGTGAATCCAGCATTCATAAACTCGTCCTCCAGACCCATCTCGCGTTTTACCAGGCGACTGAGCTCTTCAAATTGGTCCAGCGCCTGAACAGGCTGGTGCTCGAGTATGTACTTGGCTATGCCCACCATGTGCTCGTACAGCGTGCAAGTTTGGCTGTCCGTCTCCAGACCCTCGTGCTTTTTCGAGCCGCCGTGCTGGATTGACTGGAAGAGCGCCTTCGCTTTCTCGAACTCCTTCTCCGGTGGCTCCTCAGGTCCGAGGTCGCAAAAGCCCCCCGTTTTTGGATTTGGTGTTCTTTCACAATTTGAGCAACATTTATAGGCAAGGTCTTTAACAGCTTTTATTTATTATGCAAATGCATACACATAAGTTTATATGAACAGGCAATATAAAGAAGTAGATCCTTTAATGCGGCCTTAATTTTATCCTTGTATCGATCTTTACCGTAGAATTTCAATAAAACTGTTTTTCTGAATGCTAAGTATGAGTGAGAACTCCTATCCAAACTACTTATTTACACTTTTAAGTGGAAAATAGTGCTAATATCTCCTGCAGCAATGCAACACATGTTTTCCCATTAATCATCTCGCTATGAGTAGACGAGCACACACTTTTCAAATAACAAACAGAGGTTATGGCCACCGCAGAACGAACCATTGCGGTATAGCGGGTCTCATGCTAGCACATTGCACCCCAAATCCCCAAACAGTTTTGGCTGTTGTTTAATTTACATACATTTTTAGTGGTAGCTCCCAGGCAGGTATGCGAGAACTTTGATATTTTGGAAGCTTAAGGAGTGGGGAAGTGCTCGATGAATAAACACTAGTCGAGAGGCTAATGCAGCAGTGAATTTTCACATGTTTGATCGAATCATTATTTCTTCGACTGATTTTCATTTCACACATCTAAGGTTGCTCTGCAGTCTTGAAAAATCTTACAAAATCTATAGCTCTTTCATTTTACGCCTTAATAAAAATTTTGCTTGCTTCGAGGAAAAGGCTGAGGAAATGATGAGTTTCAAAAGTGTTCCCACTATATTGGGGTTGCTACCTTGACGTCCAAAAGGAGGTAAATTGCCTAGCGCCAATAAAATGATAGGCCAGCAGACAAACATGGTTTAACACGTGTGGGACGTGGAATGCTGTAAGCAGAGCATGGAGAGCATCTTAACGCATAGCTATTGGTTGGCCAGCAATCTTTCAATTCACATTTGTTCTTCCGCACATTACAGTAGAAATGGTTTAGCTAGGATGAATGGACCAATTGATTGTTCCTTCTATGGTCAATTCTAGCCATCATCAAATGCACTGAAAGACCTACTTTCAACTTACTTCCCCTAGTTAAGACGAGATTTATGTCAAAATTCTAGTTTAACTCTAAAAAGCGGAGCAGTATTTTGACACAACGCTTACATGGGCAGAGCGCCTGACATTTCATCTGACTGTCAACTTATTGATTGGCAAGCTTTTTTGTAACTTTGCGCCATGCTTAAATCGTCAGATGATCTTCCCCACTAGCGATTCTAGGGACGTTAGAATCCTCATCAGGTTGTTTGGCTTCTCTTGAACAACTAATGTCATCATTATCTGCCAGCTTCTGCGTTACGAAATGTATCCTGAGGAAGCAATGTTATTGGCTTCTCGTGGGAAGAAGCCCCACCCGTTGACTAACCGTATAATTTTTGTTCCACTGCGCCATATCCACTTTGTATAGCCTCCAACAGGTTGGGTTGAGCTTAAATGGGCAAACATGCTGACGCTAGTAAGATGGCCCTTGTTTTACAGTTTGGTGCAATATGGTATGCTTCGATTTGACTCGTAAACCACCAGCTTGTTATATGCAGTGTAATATTATATCCACTCGATTTTAATACGCGCCATTTGTAGAAGTTTACTTTCGCATTTACTCACGTGTTCACGCTGCACCCAGTAGTGGAGAGAGAGTCTCACACTTACCAAACGCTACTCTGAGGCCGATGCCAAAAAAAGGCCATTAGGACACAGGAGCAGAGCCGTTCCCTGCTGTCAATGGCAAGGTGGGAGTCACGTAATCATATGCATCACTCTATCCTTCTTGGACTTGACAAATAAAGACGCCTGTAGCAGACTTTTGCCTCCCAATTACCAGATTTGGACTTCGATCACACCCATGCACTTTCAAATGGATATTAGTCCATTACGCTGAGAGATAACTGAGCTGAATTTGCAGCTTAAACGTTCCAGTCACTTTGTTCTTACAGTGAACCAGTGGGGAATAATGTCATACAAGATTAGCATTCTCGAACCATTTAATACCCGAAAAGCCCCACCTCTTGATGGAGAATGAAAAAGTCGGTTGCTTATCTCGTATGGAAGTTCGTGGAAATCGTCTTATGCACCAGAAGTACACAACTCATCATTCCCATTTCCCTTGCAACAGCTGTCAAATGAGAGTGAGGTAGGGAGGAAGGGCTTCCTGGAGATTCCAGATACTACTTCATCGCAACTCGGTTAGGCAATTTGATGGAGGAAGTAGAAGGGCAAGAGGGGAAGATATAGTAGGTTTGTGAAATAAACAGAGTTTGGTACATAGTATATACATGAAAAGCTACTGTACACATTCAATGGATGTGACCGGGGTCGCTCGAGGTCTTCACACCACCCGAGTCGCATCGGATGAGTAGAGGAAGGAGTTGCCGCCAGTGCCGGTGGCGGAAATAGAGGTAGAAGATGCAGAGGCAGTAAAGAGGAAGGGTTTCCCATTCGTACTATTAGCGCCCGTGGTGACCGGACGTGGTCCAAGGGAGAAATTTGTCGATTGGCGATTAGAGTCACTAGGCAGTAGTTCCAGTGCACCACTGCTCCCGTCTACATTGGCCATAATGGGCATGGGAACCGAGGAGATACGCTGCGATGCCGGTCGTTCTGTGGAAACATCTGTAGAATTAGTCTTTCCTGAGTCACCCGAGTGACTGCAGGTGTTGTTCCCTGTGAGGTCTACCGCTCCTGATGTTGGGAAAGTGCTTGTAAACCCGGTTCCCTTATCTGTTCCATTCGTATGATCCCTCTCTAGAACCTCCTGGTCCCATAGTGACAGTCGCGAAAGTACTTCCTCGAATGAGGGACGCTTTGAACCCGCTTCATTCCAGCAATCCACCATAAGTGCGTAGACCTGAGGGGAGCAGTTGTGTGGACAGGGAAGGAGATATCTTGATTGAACCAAATCTATAACCTCCGCATCCGAATAAAGATGATAGGGTCGCATTCCGTCTGTCCAAATTTCCCATAGTAATACGCCAAAAGCCCATGCGTCAGATTCTACACTGAAACGACCGTAGAGAATTGCATCAATTGGCATCCAGCGCACAGGCAAAAGGAGGTTATTTGCAGTAGGGACACGATAGTAATCCATAGCATACGAATCACGTGCTAATCCGAGGTCAGTGATTTTGCACAGCAAATTCTCCCCCACGGTTACATTCCGTGCGGCAAGGTCGCGATGAATGAAGTGATTTCTCGAGAGATATTCCATTCCAGAGGCCACTTGGAAAGCAACATGGAAGCGGTCACCTTCATTCAAATGCTGATTTCTGGGCCACGTTTGGGAGGCGCTTGCAGAAGGCTCCCAACCGCCACCATCAGAGGAGGGTCGCGCAGCCAGAAGAACCTCATGAAGATCGCCATAGAGTGGTGTTTCGAAGAGCATGCACCATGGAGGTTGTTGCAAGCTGACACCAAAGACGCCCAAGAGGTTTGGGTGATTCAATTCCGCCATTATGTCTACTTCGCGTCTGAAATCAGTTTGCATAGCAGCTGGTGCTCCGGGAGATAACGTTTTAATCACCAACGGCGTTGGTTTGCTATTCTCATAATCACTAGAAGCTTGTAGTTCCCCAGCGTACACAGGTCCAAATACACCTTGCCCAATCCTATCACCGAACCTACAATAAAGGATGCACCATGTTATCTACTATTAGTGTCCAAGTAAAAAGAAATGTTCTGAAAATAAACTAACTTAATTTGGACAAGCGGATAGTTGACCGTCTTTAAAGAACGATCGACATTGTCAGGCGAACCGGAGCTACGGTCAAGGTTGTGAGGACCATTTGGCTGTTGGCTGAGAAGAGTTTTGTTAACTACGAGGAACTGTCTTTCGCCCCCATCCATTCCACGGTCTGTTTGGGAAGCAAAGACTTGTGTGAAAGCTCGATAATTAGCTGGGTCGACAGGCGAGTAGGTCGACGATGGTGGTGGAGGAGCAGGAGATGTGGGTGGGGGAACAAGCATTACATTTTTGGGTATCTGGTATTGATGGTACTGTCGTTGTTGCTGATGATTTGATGGCGCTCTTCTCTCGAGGTTGGGTGAAGCTGCCGCGGGAAAGGTATGAATCACAAATGGAGCCGTTTCCGGACTCGCACTGATCTCGGTAATGGGCTGCTTCATCTCGACTGCATTTTGAGCTTGAAGGCGACGATCCTGTTGCTTCTTGCTAACTGCAGTTGCTTTGCCACATAAGGAGCCCATAGCTCGTGAGCTACCGGTGAAGACGCCGTTTGAGTAGCCACTGTGTGAGCGACGGCAGGCGAAGCAGATGAGAATGATTATGAGTGCAAGGAGGATCAGCACTCCGAACGAAATGAAAAGAGGAAGAAGATCCGGTGACTGCGTTGCCCGAGCTGTCCCCTTCTGTAGTCTTGCGTTGCCTATGTGCTTAAGCACCTCCTCAGGCTTGGGATCGCTTATCAAGTCTACAAAACGATAAAGAAGTGGTCAAAAGGTTCAGAAAACTGTTCGAAAGTACCTGTGAGGTCAGGGACGGGTGGTCGAGAGCCCGTTCTCAAGCAGGCATCCGGATGTTCGGGGTCAAATTGCGGGAGGTTGTTGCAGTCCATAAGTAGCTTCGGAGTAGAGGCTAGAAAGACAAATATAAGAGACCAGATATTGAAATAGATAAAGCACAAACGGATGCCCATTCATCCACCCTCTCTTCGTACAACTGATTCATCAATAATCCTGGATACAACCAGCGAAAAGGCGTATGCGACGTGAGTTTGTGTTACGTAGGAATGCACCTATACCCCACGGAACAAAGGCTGGCAACCTATATAGTGGACGAGGATTAAGGAGGTCCAGCATACCTATGCAATTATCTACCCCATAGCAACTTTTCACAACTAGTCACCTAGTGTAAACATTGAGTCAACATCCACTTTTGGTCATGATTTATTGCTTGTAGAAGCAAAAACCTATGGACAATCAAGAAGAATGGAAGGTTATCCAAGGCACATACTCAAACACGTGAAAATCAGTATTCAACACATTGTTGCAAACGATAGCTGTCTACCCGCTAATATCTTAAGCTAAATGTGTAGCAATATTTAAGCATGCATTATCTATGTTATTTTTAAACTATACGTACAACAAATAGAAATCGTACCTTTCTTTACACAACACCATACTTAGCGAAGTACCTGTGTTAAATCTCTTTTTCCATGAAGAGGCAATTAAGTCGAGCCCAACAAAGATTTACAAGTCTTGGTAATTCAGAAGACTCGAAGTGCCTCCGATCTCTCCGCCTACTATAGCTGTGGTATGAACTTGCATTTTAGCACTTAAACATTTGGAGCTTCTTATCAAGTATGGCTGTCCACCAATTAAGTAACTTCAAAATACTTCTACCACATAAATTTCGAAAGACCACGCCCTCACACTTAAAAAAATTAATTTCGACCTTCCATCTATGCCTATAAACTGCACAACATTCCACACACAAAGCAAATGGCTCTACCATCGAGCAATCATAAGAACTCTGATGTATGGAAAACTGCCAAGGCAAACAGCATGCAGCACCGTTTTGGAAATACTACCCCAGCATTTTAACTATATGCCTCTCGCAAAGGCAAGGAAACTAAAGCGGGAAATTACCTTGGGACTGGGTGTCTTGGAGGAGACGACCATAGATCTCGCTGCATTCGCCCTTAGTAATAAGATAACAGTCATCACGGCAGAGACGCCGTCTAGCGATCACGTCAGAGTCCACTGCCTTCTCGTTCACCTCGACGGGTGGCGGACAAATGGGGAAGTGATAGTAGCATGTGGCCTCCATTATCCGACCCATGCAATCCTTGTCGTCCGAATGCCATTTACGCAATGTTGCCGAGGCAATCACTGTTCATGCAAGCAAAGATATCAC